AGACTTATTCTAGTGCTAATTCAAAGTAGAATTTTAAATATTACTGTTTTATTCAGTCAGTTCATTTTATTGAATCTCTTTAAACCCGTTTTCCTATTTGTAAATTGGTGAGGATACCAAGACCTTGGTGGGGTTATTATGAAGACAGAAGTCGTGGGCAACCCTAGGCTTTCCATTCAGTGAGTGCCTGGCACACAGTCGATATTCTCAGACAGTGGTGGTCTTCCTTCCCTTACTTCCTCTTTGAGGACAGAGAATTCTGTCACAGACATTGGGGTCAGGATTTCAGCAAAGAACCAACCGTGTCCTTATGAAGGATCTAGTCTGTTTAGAGAAACCAAAGATAGATTTAACAAAGAAATAAATGCCAGGGGAGGAAGAATAGAGTAAGAAAATAATATTAACGTCCTAGTCCATTAAAACTTTACAAAGAAAATTTGCAAAATCTTTTCCCAGGCTTTGTCATACAGCTTGCTTATTTAATACAATTATTTGATAAAACTCTATTGTGGTAAAATAATGTCATTCCAGGGGAATTCTTTTAAGAGCTGGCCTATTATATGCCTTAAGCCTCTAAGTGCTAGAAACTTTAGAAATGACAGACGTGAGTTGTGGCTTGGGGCACCTGGTTGACTCACTCAAAGGAGCATGTGATTCTTGATCTTGGGGTTGTAGGTTCGAGCCCCATGTTGGAGAGATTACTAAACAAGAGTAAATAAAAATTGGGGCACCTGAGTGGCTCAGGTTAAGTGTCAGACTCTTGATTTCGGCTCAGGTCATGATCTCTCAGTCATAAGATGGAGCCCCTCATCCGGCCCAGTGTGGAGCCTGCTTGGGATTCTCTCTCTCTCTGCCCCTCCCCTGCTTATGCTCCCTCATTCTCTCAATAAATAAATAAACTTTAAAAAAAATTACTAAACAAAAATAAACACACAGAGGAAAAAGAAATGAGTTGTGTTTAGAGGCAGACCTTTTTTCCCCCCCATTGAGAAAGAGTGCACTTGCATAGGTGGGGAAGGGGTAGAGGGATGGAGGGAGGGGAGGAGAGAGAGAGAAAGAGAAAATGAATGAATCTTAACAGGCTTCACACTCAGCACAGAGCCCAACTCAGAGCTCAATCTCACAACCATGAGATTATGTGAGATCACAACCTGATCTGAAATCAAGAGTTGGATGCTTAATGGACTGAGCCATTAGTCCTCTAGGTGGCTCTAGAGGCAGGACTTTTTTTTTTTTTTTACTGTTTATTTTTGAGAGAGCGTGAGTGGGGGAGGGGCAGAGAGAGAGACACACACACACACAGAATCAGAAGCAGGTTCCAGGCTCTGAGCTGTTAACACAGAGCCTGACGCAGGGCTTGAACCCACAAACCTTGAGATCATGACCTGAGCTGAAGTTGAATGCTCAACTGACTGAGCCACCCCGGCGCCCCTAGAGGCAGGACTTTTTTTTTTTTTTTTTTTTTGAGAGAGAGCTAGAGACAGCATGGGCAGGGGAGGGTCAGAGAGAGAGGGAGACACAGAATCTGAAGCAGGCTCCAGGCTCTGAGCTAGTTGTCAGCACAGAGCCCGATGCGGGGCTCAAACCCACAAACCGTGAGATCATGATCTGAACTGAAGTCGGATGCTTAACCAACTGAGCAACCCAGGTGCCCCAGAGGCAGGACTTTCTAAGGTCTAGTTTGGCACAAGATTGCTGTGGTACCTATAATCTGATATACAGTGCAGTTGTGAAAATTGCTTTATCAGTACCTGCTGGTAATTAGCAGGATTGGATCTTTGAGAAATATTCAGATAAGGACTCCATTGATTTGCAAAATGTAACTAAATCCTTCCCCTTTCCATTTTGTTGGGGAGGGCTGGTGGTTAGAATTAAATTAGGTGCTAAGCATAAAATGAGATTGGCACATAGCAGTCACTTGGTAAATGACAGTTATTATCACCATCCATACCTTAAATTCTCAGAGGCTTTTTGAATTACTTTTAAGCTTATTGCTTATGTTTATTGGTCCCTTATATTATTTAGATACACCACACACCAAAACAGTTTTCTTTCAAGAGAAGAAAGTAAAGGTACCATGTGTCTCTCTTACTCAAATCTATAAAAATTGTTATTTCCTGTGTTCTTTGTAGAGCTGGTGGAGTTGAGATCTATAATGGAGATCGTAAAATAAAAGTTTCCAATACCCTAGAAAGCCGGCTGGATCTCATAGCCCAGCAGGTAAGTGTGGGAATACTTCTTATTAGTTGGTCTGTTGTTGCTTTGAAGTGGTACAGAGAACATATGTCCATTCCCTGGAATTTGAGTTTGTCCACATTTTGTGACATTTTCTTGAATGGGTAGTGGGCATTTAGTGGCATTTACTGAGGTGATACCATTTACATGAGAGTGGATTTGGGGCCAAATGAGGATTTATTTATTTAGGATTCTAATAGAAACATTTTACTCCATGTAGAGATGCTTAGCAGAGTCCCTTTCTCTAGTAAGAATGGTGGGATCTAAAGTAAATGTTGTTTAAAGGAATTCCCATAGTGCTGCTGGCTCTTCAGATGTTTCCAGCTTTGCACAAATGAGCTCCAGGAAAATCCAGTTGTCTCAAAATGCGGCGCCTCTTTCAGTGGTGGTAGTCTGCTGCGGTGGCTGCTGACTTGTCTTACAGTGAAAGCACTTTGACCTTGCAGATCATCTCCTGGTTACTTATACCCTAAAGCTGTGTTTCTCATTACAGTAGCCACTACATCTGAATAATTCAAGTAAAATTAGAAAACGAGTCCCGTGGTTGCATTGGCCACATTTCAAATGCACAGTAACCACATGTGGCTAGTGGCCTGTTCATAACCTTAGAAGTTTGAGCTTAAATCCTAAGGATTTTTCAGTTGCCATAATGACCAAGTGCCTCGTCACAAACTTGCATTATGTGTTTTCTGCTTGGCACATAGTAAGCACTCAGAAACTTTGTTGAAAGAAAGAACATAGGTGATTCAGAATATTGTTAAGGAATCCTCTCTTCTCCCTACATTACACAGTAACAGAAGCCTTAAGCGGTAAGGGCGCCCTGCTGGCTCGGTCAGTAGTGTGCGACTCTTGGTCTCAGGGTTGTGTGTTCTGGCCCCACATTGGGTGTAGAGATTACTTTAAAAAAAAAGAAGGCGGCTTAAAATATCATTTTAATAAGTAAATGGATAATTAATGGCTTTAGTTTTAGTTGTTGTTGTTTTCTTCGTCCTCTTAAGCAGTCAGCCATAACCACAAATTTGTGATTGGTTAAGTTTCTCTCCAGGGATTCTGTAGATTGGATGCACTTAGCTTTGTGATTTCCTTCCCAGCCACACAGGGGTCAGTGACTCGCCACTTGCAGTTAAGATGTGCAGTTCTTCCATATTTTCCTATTGATAACACTTACCTATTAAAGACTTTATTTCTTCACAGATGATGCCAGAAGTACGGGGAGCCTTATTTGGTGCAAATGCCAACAGGAAGTTTTTGGACTAAGCCTTCGGGAGAGGTGGAGTTGATCCATTGCTCTCCGGCTGTGATGTGGAAGTTTCTGATATTTGAAGAAACAAGATACCTGTGTGGCTTCCTCTTCGCTCTCCTAATATTCTGTATTTATCAGTGGATACCCTTCTGTAGCTAATGCCTGTGGCCTAATTGTTAACAATGAGAGCAAGTTCTGCTTAATGTAATCAGGAAACCTTCTAGCGTCTCTAAAAGTAGCACAGCTTTCATTCGCTTCTGTAGCATGGAGGTGAGGGTATCAGATGGTGGTTACGGGAGCTTCACCAAGTCTTTGCTCTTCCTCTGGTTTCAGTTCTCCACTCTAGAGGGTGACGTGTATGGTGTTCTCTGATATTAAGTCTCTGCTTTTAGGCTTAAAATGCATGGCGCTGGGGGGTGGGCGGGGGCACGCATTCCTTCTAGCAGTAGTAGCTTCCCTGTTAACCTGTTCGGGCCTAGAAGTGTTCCTCATCTGTAAATGTGATTTAAAATCTAAGCCATGAATATGTTTTATTTATTAAAACAAAAGGTTTACATGGATTTCATTGTGATTTATTATGCAAGGCTCTACAGGTGTGTGGTTTGAGAGGGTCCAGTTCTTCCTGAGCTATCTAGAAAGGCAGCATTTTCCTAATCCCTGTAGCATTTGCTGTTCGACAGCTGTCACTACTTGAAACCATTAACCCTCTGTGTCCTCTGGCACTTCCTGCTCACTTTTACCAGGCCCTTCTCCAGAGGTGTTCCTTGTAGCCCCTTAGGATCTTTCACACATACCACACACACAGGTGTTCAATATTACCTATCCTCCAGAGGGTTCGACGGTTTTATTGAGGAAATAGTTTTACTAGCTTTGGCATGGTCAGAAAAGAAAAGCATCTAGGGGCTTATTGGAGGAGAAGGGTTACTGTGTGTTAGGCCTAAGTCCTTTCACAAAGGTCCTTTTCCTCCTCTCGTCGTTCTTTGTTTCTTCTCAGATGACGACTAAGAACTACCCAACATCTTACAGCGAGGCAGAGTTGGGATCTAACTCGGGTCTGTCTCTGCAGCCGGACTCCAATGTGGGCCTCTCTGGAGAGAATGAGTCTACTGAGGCTGGCCGTTTTTTCATTAACATACGTGAGATTAGGTGGGGACAGATGTACATACCAACTCTTGGAGCAGACAGACATTTTTTACTTAAGACTTGAGCCCGCACGCTGAGAGCGGTTCTCTGTGGCAGCCCTCATGGGAAGGCACTGAGGTGTGTGGGAGCTGTCACAGCGGACTCCGTTCCTCAAGGTGACGCGGTTAGGCAATGATGGGGTCAGGACTTCAAACCCAGCGTAACGGAAAGATAAAGTATCCCCATGGCTGCCCTCTGACCTCCTGAGTGGTGATTTGAAGAGTACATGATAGAGACCTGCCTCAGAGCTCATTTTCATGCAGTTTGGTTCTGGAATGGACGGGCAAAGGTGGAGGGCAAACCATTGCAGCGGGTCTGCTGCTCTCACTAATCACACGACGAGAGTTTAATCAATTTTATTTAAAACCATGTTCCATGGACATTGTTCTGTGAGAGCCTGTGCGGCACAGGGAGGATTTGCCGGCCAGGACAGCCGCCCTGATGCCCAGGCCACTCAGAGTCAGCCTGATGCCTCTGCTAGCCACAACTTGAAAAGATCTGCTTGGTTTCAAACGAGGTGCTGACTTTGAGGGCTTTCATGGTCCCCTTGAACTTCTGATCTTCCTTTTCCCCCAAACCAGTGCTAGAACTAACCATAAGCTATTTAATTCAGAATTAACACTAAGTCTTCAAACTGACTCAAGTGTGCGGAGTTTGAGTGTCAAGTAGAAATGTAAAATGGAGAAACCACCCCTCTATCTTACTGTGTGTTAGGGTCCCGCAGTTAATACACCCCACGCACATACTATGTTTGCCGTTGAAAGGTAGGTGATTAGGGGCTTCTGAAGCTCCCTGGTGACTATAACCCCACCAAAAAATGGATGCGGACGTCACAAAGGGAGAGAGTGAGGTAGCACTACAGGTTAGAGGACAGGATGACATGGGGGGCGTCTTGCTCATCCCTCTCTAAGTAGAATGTGCTAGAGAGCTGGCAGCAAGTAAAGGGACTTGAGCTGTCCAGCTGTCTCTACTCGAAACACTTTAAGATCCGCTCTCCAATACCAATGAAGTAGACCCCTTGGGCGATCCCAAAGAGAGGGGCTATGACCAGGGCCCGGCAGCCTGCTCCTTTCATGAGGGCAGATGGTCCCTCCTGAGTCCAGATTTTCCTGCGGAGAGAGAAGAGCCGTGAGCTGCTGGGTGCACTGCAGACGGTGTGAAGTGATCCGCTCCCCTCCAATGTGTGCACATCTCTCCACGGAGGGTAGATGTCATTTTCCACAGCGAGATCACTTCCCGGGCATGTGGGCGCCCCGCCCTGCCCGTGGTGTGTGTGCAGCCTGGTTACCAAGCCCCCCCGGGCCAGGCCCTGGGAAAGCGGCTTAATCTGCCTAGACCCTGGGAGAAAGATGCTGCAGGGATGCAAAGGAGGAAAAAGCTCCTGCTACATCCTGTTTCTGTTAGGAGGTGAGCGCAGTGCGGTGACCAAGTGTGCGGTGCGGCCAGACATGGATGCAGGGGAACCGGCCCGGCCGCAGCCTGTGAGCGGCCACAGGGCTCTCACCTGGCGCAGTCGGTGATCCCGGTGTAGCTGTCCTCACCCAGGCCTTTTTTGAGGGTTTGGATTCGAGTTTTCAAAACTAAATCAAGCAAAAGTTAGAATTAGTAATGCACGTCTCGCTTCTGGCGTCCTATCCGCCACCTGAAGTGGTTTCCTAGCAGAGCCAGCGTAGAGAAGACTGTCCTGGGGCCAGCTCTGCCATTGCGTGATTTGGACTAGATCTTCCTGGAGGAATCAGAAACGACATAGTTTCTATAGGAAAGTGGGAGGTGACTCCTACCACAGAAAAGTCCACCCGGGTGTTGGAGGAGCCGGGTGTAGCCCTGAGGATAGGAGAAGCGTGTTCTTCCCATACTGCTTAATTCCGCCCTTTAGCCTTTTAGATTTTAACCCCTCACCCCCACCCGAGGAACAAAGAACGAATGAAATCAGCACCTAGGAAGGGAAGGGACTTGTCAGTGATAAGAAATAAAGCGAAGGTCTCCCTGTCCCCGCTTTATCTGGTAAGACTCTTGGTGAGCTTCTTGCCAGTGGCCACAGGTTGTGACCCAAGAGGGATTTCAGGTTGGAACGGTTTCATTTCTGTCCTGAAAGCGGCAGATTCCTATTTATCCTACAGACAACTATACAGCTGTCTCCTTTGTAAAGCAACCCCTAAGGCCCCTCATCGCCAATGCACTTACCGTCCAGAGGTGTCACTGTGACAGCGGCTACGGAACCTGCAACACAGCCTGACATAAAGGAATGAACAAAGGAGGCCTTCCCGGTCCGCTCGTTGAACCCGAGGTTGTTAAGGTTGGCAAATAGTGGGAAGTAGATGATGGAGAAGGGAATGTCTCTGCAGGAGAGGAAGAAGAAACCCTGAGGTACCCGCTGCTCGGGGGCTCCCACCCAAGGTCATGCGCATGCCTTCCCATGAGCTTTATAGCCCCGCAGAGGGTCAGAGACAAGCCCACAGTTCCCGTTCCTCTGGCACCCGTGATAATGTGGGCAAAAGTGTAAGGGAGAAGGTGGGTTTGCCTCCCCGCCCCCTAGCTTATTACTCTGCCCTACTAGCACCTGCAGCGATTAGTGCGGAGCCAGCAGCTGGTGCAGAGGCTGGCGGATCATTCAATGAGAAAGGGTGGACAGGTTAGACGTAATGAGTCGAGCAAGTGGCTGGTGAAGGGCTGTGGAAGCTACGTGTTGAGGGGGTGGGGTGGGCAGGAAGGTGAAGTTCATTCATCTCTTGCCTAGGTAATGCAAGAAAACTCTCGTCCTGGCCCAGGGCACTTCAGACCAACTTTAAGGATTTTGGCCAAGTAGCAAAGTAAAATGAGGGGTCTGTTCACTTATAAATGAACCAAAGTCCTCTGTACACAGGACATTCTTAGGTGCCTTTGGACCACAGAACACCCAGTACTCATGGGGGCCTGGTTACTGGAGCAGGGGCCTCAAACTCGTCTCCCAGGTACCCACCCTGTGCAATTTTGCCCAATTCTTGACCAAACAGGAAGCATAGAGATAGTTTGCTTTCTGGGGTTTGACTGTTCTAGGAAGAATGCAGAAACAGATTGGAGAGGCAGTCCCTCTGCTGGCCCCTCTCTGTTCCCTGGGGCCCTTCTGTGTCCCAAGTTCAGGAAGGGCTCACCTGAGGAGAGTGGCACCCAGACCCTTATAGAGACCAGCCAGGCCCTGGGTGTGAAGTAGTTCCCAGGCAATACGTGTGGCAGACGGGCGCTTGTGCATGGGAGCCGAGCGGGTAGTGTAGGACCTGGAGGGGGGTGCCGAGGCTGAGCCCTGACGATGGACCGCTGGAAGGGACAGGACAGATGCTGTCACGCGCCAGGCTCCAGCAGGCGCTGCGGAACACTCATGGGAGTGTGCCCCCACTTCCTGTTCCTGGGACGCCTCAGAGGCAGGCCTGACATCCCTACTAGAATTCTGAGAATTGTCCTAATTTTATTTCAAATTTTTTTTTTTTTTAATTAGAGAGAGAGAGAGAGCAAGAGAGAATCTCAAGCAGGCTCCACACTGAGCCCCCAACTCGGGGCTCGATCCCACCACCCTGGGATCAAGACCTGTGCCAAAATCAAGAGACTGCCGTTCAACTGCCTGAGCCACCCAGGTGCTCCAAAGATTTTTTTATTTTTTTAATTATCTCTGCACCTAACGTGGGGCTCGAAATCACAACCCTGAGATCAAGAGTTGCATGCTCCGACTTTGCCAGCCAGGCCCCCTAGATTGTCCTAATTAAAAAATATATTTATTTAGGGGCACCTGGGTGGCTCAGTCGGTTAAGCATCTGACTTTGGCTCAGGTCATGATCTCATGGTTCGTGGATTCAAGCCCCGTGACGGGCTCTGTTCTGTCAGCCCAGAGCCTGGAGCCTGTCTTCGGATTCTGTATCTCCCTCCTCTCTGACCCTCCCCTGCTCACCCTGCTCACACTCTCTCTCTCTCAAAAATAAATAACAAAACGTTTAAAAAAATTTTTAAATAAATAAATTTATTTTGGAGAGAGAGAGAGTGCATGCGAGAGGGGAGGGGCAGGGAGGGAGAGAGACAGAGAGCCTCCCAAGCAGGCTCCACACTGTCAGCACAGAACCTGATGCGGGGCTCGATCCCACAAACGAGATGATGACCTGAGCCAAAACCAAGAGTCCAATGTTCAACCGACTGAGCCACCCAGGCGGCCCTGTTCTAATTTTAGAACGTTAGTTTTTGGCATCAAGGAAATCTTTCTAAGATGGTTAGGATCCAATCTGTTGTCCCTACCACACAAGGTAGCACAGCCACGGCCTGCCTGACTCCCTTCACAGGAAGCTAGAGCCGCCTGTCTCCCCGCCGCCAGCCGGGTCCTTATCCTGCTAAAACTGCTTCTGATCTGGGTGCCATTTCTAAACCACCTCTGAGCTATTTACATAGCTTCATCCTATTTGCACTTTGGGACTTTGGAGTCCCATGTACCTTCTGCCTAATGTGTAAAGGCAGCAAATTTTTTTTGTCCAGAAACTTCCTCCTTCAGACTTCCAGAGGTGCCTCCTCCCTCCAGTATTCCAAGATTAGGTGAGCGTGGCCTCTATACCCTTCATCATTTTATAGAATTTGATTCTTCATTTTAGTTGAATCATTCAGAACCCGTAATTTGATGAGTTAAACATCGAATAAATAGAACAGCATTTTTTTTTTCCTGAGCATTTCAAGTATAAGCATTTCAAATGTGGGTGAGTTCCATTAGTGACCACAGGGTTTAATGCACTGAAATTGTGTGACTGTTTTCTTAATTCTCGCTGCTTGAGAAGCTTGGTCTAGATTATAAGTCTTAATAAAAGGCAGTTATTTCATATCTCAATTTTGTTTGATACCCAGCAGGGCAATGTTTCATAGTAAGAAGCTAGTTACTGTAGCGATCTAGGTGCAGACCTCAAACAATTAGCTTTAAGAAGGTAGTTAATCAGGGGTGCGTGGTGGCTCCATCAGGTGTCTGACTCTTGGTTTCAGGTCAGATCATGATCTCATGGTGTGTGGGTTCGGACCCCACATTGGGCTCTGTGCTGACAGCACAGAGCCTACTTAGGATTCCCTCTCTCTGCTGCTTCCTCTCTCTCTCTCTCTCTCTCAAAAATAAATAAATAGGGCGCCTGGGTGGCTCAGTCGGTTAAGCGTCCGACTTCAGCTCAGATCATGATCACATGGTTTGTGGGTTCAAGCCCCACATTGGGCTCTGTGCTTGCTGACAGCCAGCTCAGAGCCTGGAGCCTGTTTCAGATTCTGTATCTCCTCCTCTCTGACCCTCCCCTGCTAACGCTGTCTCTCTCTCTCAGAAATAAATAAAACATTAAATAAATTTTTTAAATCAATCAATCAATAAACAACTACAAAAAAATAGTTTATCAATGGGCATTATTTCCCCACTGTCTGCTTTAGACAGAGAAAACAAAAACAATAGGAATGGTTCTCTCATCCCTTATTAGGCCTTCCCACTAACAGCCAGCTCTGGAGCATAGTAGAATGTCTATTGACTGGAATATCTGTGATCAGGCTGTTGACACTTCTTAAAATCTTTAGGAAATCAAGCCTAAATGTCATGGTGATATGATAGAGATATTAGGGAATTTTCTTTCCCTCTCAGTCAAGTTTCTCTTTTCTGTTACTTGTTCTAAACCTGGAAGTGTTAAAATCTAGAATAGTAACCATAAAACAAAAGACTTCTAGGGGTGCCTGGCTGGCTTGGTTGGTAGAGCATGTGACTCTTGACCTCGGGATTGTAAGTTCAAGCCCTGAATTGGGTATAGAGGTGACTTAAAAATATAAAAACTCTTGGGGTGCCTGGGTGGCTCAGTCTGTTAAGTGTCTGACTCTTGATATTGGCTGAAGTCATAATCTCATAGTTCATTTGGGAGTTCGAGCCCTGTGTTGAGCTCTGACTAATGGTGCGGAGCCTGCTTGGGATTCTCTCTCTCCCTCTCTCTCTGCCTCTTCCCCCTTCAAAATAAATAAATAAACTTAAAAAAATGAATAAATAAAAAGTCTTAAAAAAAAAAAAGAGAGACTCCAGCGTGGCTCAGTTAAATGTCCGACTCTTTGATACCGGCTCAGGTCATGATCTCACAGTTTGTGAGTTTGAGTCCTAAGTCAGGCTCTGTGCTGACAGTTCGGAACTTGCTCTCTCTCTGACCCTCCCTCACCCACTCATGCTCTCTCTTTCTCAAAATAAGTAAATAAACATTAAAAAAAAAAACTAAAAAAATAAAGACTTCTACTGACCTAGAAACCTGATTCAGTAACACAGCCTAGCAAATGAGTGCAGAATGTGGGGAGATCTATTCTGATCACAGCCCTTCAATAATCTCATGTGGAGTCGGGAGAGGCCTCACCCAAGCGGCCAGCATCCTGCAGCTGAATCTTGAGCATTTCCATGGGACAGGTGACCACCACCTGGCACATCCCAGCTCCACATCCGGCTAGCATCTCCATCTTCAGGTTCCGCTGCATCCTGTGGGACCATGAGCGAGGCCATTTCAGGGACAGGCAAGGTCTGCCACCCCACCCCCGCCCCATCTACCCTCCCTTGGTAGTTGGGACTATCCACGCATGCTATTTAGCTATGTTCAGATCAGCTGGGTAAATAATCACCTGGCCCTCAAACTCAGCCTCCTTAAAACATGAAACTACATTAAAAGCGGCTGTCAGGGAGGTAGCACCTGCATAGAAGTTGAAGCTACTACAGTGAAACTACCTATTGTGGGGATTTGACGGTCCCTGATCCCTTCAGCAATATCACTAGGGCAATGGGAGGCACAGAGAATACTAGAAAGTGTGTGGGGGTTGATTTTTAAAAATTCATCAGCATAAAAACAGACACATAGATCAATGGAACAGAATATAAAGCCCAGAAATAAACCCCCGAGGGGAGCCAAGAATTCTCAGTGGAGAAATGACAGTCTCCTCAATAAATTGTGCTGGGAAAAGTTGGATATTCACATGTAAAAGAATAAAACTAGACCCCTATCTTATACCACTTATGAAAATTAACTCAAAATGGATTAAAAACTTAAATGTAAGACCTGAAATCATCAAACTCCTAGAAGAAAATGCAGAGGAAAAGCTCCTTGACATGGGTCACTAAAGCACAGCCACTTGAGCAAAAACAAGCGTGGCTACTTCAAACTTCAAAGCTTCCACACGGCAAAGGAAACCATCAACAACATGAAAAGGCAACCTATGGAATGGGATTCAATATTTGTAAATCATATAAATCATATATCTGACAAGGGGTTAATATCCAAATATATAAAGAAATCATACAACTCAACAGCAAAAAGCAACAAATAATCCAATTAAAAACAGGCAAAGGACCTGAAAAGATATTTTCTAAAGAGAGAGAGAGAAAGAGAGAGAGAGAGAGAGAGAGAGAGAGAGAAACAGAGAGAGGAGGAGATAGGATCTGAAGCAGGCTCCAGGCTCTGAGCTGTCAGCAGAGAGCCCGACATGGGGCTCAAACTCATGAACTGTGAAATCATGACCTGAGCCAAAGTGGGATGCTTAACCAACCGAGCCATCCAGATGCGCCTCCAATGAAGATAATCAAATGACAGGTACATGAAAAGGTGCTCCACATTACCAGCCATCAGGGAAATGCACATCAAAACCACAATATGATATCAGTGCACACTTGTTAGAATGGTTATCATCAAAGAGATAGAATGTAAATGCTGGCATGGATGTGGTGAAAAGGGAACCCTGTGCACTACTGGTGGGAATGTAAATTGGTACAGCCACTATGGGAAATGGTATGGAGGAGGTTCCTCAAAAATTAAAAATTAAAAAGAGAACTACCACATGACCCAGTAATTCCATTTCTGGGTATCTATCCAAGGGAGACAAATCACTATGTCAACAAGTATCTGCACCTCTATGTTCACTGCATCATTGTTCACAACAGCCAAGATATGGAAACAACCCATGCGTTCATGGACAGATAAGTATACACACACACACACACACACACACACACACACACACACACACACACACTACAATGTTGTTCGGCCGTAAAACAGAAGGAAATCCTGCCAAATGAGAGATGGATGGACTTTGAGGGCATTATGCTAAGTGAGATTAGGAGATAGAGAAAAATAAATACTCAACGGTCTTGTTTACATGAGGAATCTAAAAAAAATCCAAACTCATAGAAAAAGAGACCAGGTTTGTGTTATCAGAGGCTGGGGGCTGGTGGTGGGGGACAGGAATTAGGTGAAGGTGGTCTGTAGGCACAAACTTCCAGGTATAAGATTAACAAGCAATGACAGCATGATGACTATGGTCAACACTGCTCTGTGGTACACTTGAAAGGTGCTAAGAGAACAGATCCTAAACGTTCTCGCTGCAAGGAAAAAAAATTTTTTTGGTAACTAAGTGAAGTAATGGATGTTAACTAAACTCACATTTCACAGGATATGTACATGAGGTCATTATACAGTACAAACATTATACACTGTATAAACTTTACAGTGTGGTACTGCAGTTACGGCTCAATAAAACCAAAAAAATGTTCATCAGCTAGTTGATAAATATTTGTGTATATAGATTTTATAATGGTCTCTCTCTCTATCTATCATCTATCATCTAGAACTTTCGAATTACACCAGCTCATTTTCCCCTTGACTTTGTACTTGCCCAACAATACACTAACCAACCTTCAGCCATTTGTGTGCACGTTTAGATACATGCAGACAGGTAAGCCAGCACCTTCCTCTCCCTGTCACCTTCTCCCCAAACTACAGACATACGGCGAAGGACTTCCATCCCACAGCCCCCCACCTGGCCATACCCATCCTCCATTAGCAGCTGCCGGAAGAAGTCATTGGCTGCCAGCTTGATGGCCTTCTCTGGAGTGACCAAGGTCAGGTTCACTGCAGCCCCTGCAAGTAAAGAACCGGGATGAGTTAAGACCATCTGAAAAGTAATAATTCTTGGGGCACCTGGCTGGCTCAGTCAGTAGAGCATGTGACTCTTGATCTTAGGGTTATTCAAGTTCAAGCCCCATGTTGGGTGTAGAGTTTACTTAAACATTTAAATAAAAAAATTTTTTAAAAAGGAACAATTCTCTGAGTCTGCCATTCACATAGGCAACCTCCTTTCAGACCTAGCCAGGGGGGGTTCTGGGAGTAACTGGAGTCTTGGAGGGAAGGATTTTTGAGGAGGGCTCCTCAGCCTATTTTATAGAAACATGAATTTTTTTTTCATCTCCCTACTTTGACTCTCCTCCCTCCACATTTCCCTCTTTCACGTATGTGTTTCCTTTATGGGCTCACTGGTGCAGTTATAAGGAAGTTATTTTGGTCCTTGCTAGTGCTGCCCATCTCTGATGATAAGTGAAGAGTTCCCCAAATCAAGCCCCGATAAGAAGGTTCTGGGGGACAGGGATCGGTTTCCATTACTCTGTGCTTTACTAGCCCAGTCCCACTGGCAGCTCTTTGAGTCACAGAGATTTTTACTTTATTTCTCAGGGGTTCTAGCACATCAGCTCCTAAATGCCAGCTTGGTATCCATTTTCCAATCCGTCATCATGGCTGTGTGGGGACACAGCCAGGGACAGCACTGGCTTGTGTCAGGGAAAGCCATCCAGTAGCTCCCTTTCAGGAGCTCAAAACCCTCTCCATTCTCTTCCCAGGCAGCCTCTACCCAATCAGCCCTGAATGAGAAGTGGGGGGAAGAGAAATGTGGGGGCCAGCATCACCCGGTGAGGCAGTAGTGGTGCCAGGATGGAAACTAGGGCTCCTGGGCTTCCCTAAAGCCTCACAACTGCCTCTGTCTCCACGAAGGAAGATGGGGGCTTGTGAAAAGCAAATGTGGCTTAGGATCACCTGGTAGCCCAGGCCCTGCTTGCCCCAGGAGCTCCCTGTGCAGAAGAAACACCAGTTCCCAATGTTCTATAAACCCACAAAGTCTGGTGCCCTGTACTGTACCCTGTGTTCTCACCTGGCCCCAGCCAGGCCTCCCCCAGGGGTGCATGATAAGCCCACCTCGGTACATGCCCAAGAAGCCCTCCGCCCTGGCAGTTTTCATCAGGCAGTCTATCCTAGAAGCAGAGGCCAGAAAATGAAGTCAGTGGGGAGCAAGAAGCTGCTCCATCAGCCCCCCTTCCCCCACCCTGGTGTCCTAATCCTGCTGGGCACACCCCAGTGGACCACCTCCCCTGACCCCACTCCACCCCCATAACGCACTCACTCTCTAAATAAAGAGACAGGAAGGAATGAGGCGCCATATTCCTTCCCTGGGAGCCCCCCTTCTCCCTGCCCACCCCATTCCCCTCACCAATACCTACATTCCTTTGTAGATATCTTTTCCATGTTGATTCTGCAGCCGAGTCTTGGCCAAGTCGATGGGGAACACACAGGTCACCCCAACAAGCCCTGCCACACCTCCATTGATGAGTTTTGCTGTAATACTAGGCCGTGCGGAGGAGGGAGGCAAAGAATAAGTGAGGGAGGCAGAGAGACTCAGGAGCTCCGAGGGGGGCTGGCTGCAGAAAGCGCACACCAGGACTAGATGGGGGTGGGGCTCCACAGCAGCTCCACCTCAGCACCACACCAGAGACGCCTTTCCTCAGCCCGCTTCCCCATCTGCAGCACCTCCTGGGCCAACCTGGGGCTCCCTCCCCCACAGACAGGGAAGGTGTCAGGCCGTTCTCTCCGGAGGCACTGCGCTTGCCAGGACTCGGGCATCTTGTCCTAACCACTCCAGGGAAATGTTCCTGAAGCTACGATGCTGCAAAGGCTTCTGGAAAGGAGGCCCAAAGTGCCAACTCTGCCCCCTGGGAGCGTACCAGGGTGCAGGAGGTCAGCTCGCCTCAGAGCAGTCCCTCACAGCTTTCACCCAGGGCCTGGGTGATCCAGCTGATCCCCATCTTTAGAGCCACATGAGGAAAAGTTTTCAAACAGATTGCAATTTTATTTTGGCTTAAGATCAGGCAGAATGGAATTTGAATCCTGGCTATGCTGTTTACTTAAACAAGTTACCTCACTTCCCTGATCCTTTGCTTTTCCCTCTGTAAAACTGGCCTCAAGGGATTTTGTGAGGATTAAATAAGTTAATGCACTTGCTAAATGATAGCTATTATTTATAATAAGAGAACTGGCTTCTAGACAGTGCAAGATAACCAGGGTTAATGTATGGAGATTATCTGATTCTAGCCAAAAGTTAAAAAAAAAAAAAAAAAAAAAAAGGAAAGAAAAAGTCACACTTTATATAATGTGAGCCCCCTTATCCAGGAATTTTGGAAGACTGAAAATAGAAAATAAAGCTTCCTAGTCTCCTTGGAACCTAGTAATATCTTCTTATCTTTCAGGCCAAGGGCAGACTGTGAGCAAAATCTTTGGAGGTAGATTTGGAAGTAGTAGGGATAGGTAATAGATTTTCTCATATCTGAACCCTGATAAGCAAACAAAGAAGAACTTTGTGAAAACAAATAGAATTGTGACTGAAATTTTTCAGTCTGAGAAGATGTAGTTCAATGAGATGATAGGAAGGAAGGAAGGAAGGAAGGAAGGAAGGAAGGAAGGAAGGAAGGAAGGAAGAAAGAAAGAATAGTGGGGGGAAAGGAGCCTTGCTTGCTCCTCCCCAGGACTCAGGAATCTGGTAGAGAAGCTGAATGAAGTCTTGTTACCACAGAAACCCAGCCCAGAGAGTCTCAGCCAGTTTACCTCAAATCCTGGCTGGACATTATTCTGCTGGTGGGTCCCAGGACACGGGCTGCTGGCTTCTCAGGGAGATGGCTGGCCGAGGAAGATGTGGTGTCTGGTCCTGGATTGTGGCCCACCATGGCAGAGTGGAAAGAACATGGGGGTCAGTGGAGACGGACCTGAGCCACCTTTCTGACGAGCCTCCACGGGCCGGTTTCCTCCTCTAGAATGTGCTCAGAACAACACCGGCCTCATGGTATGAGAAACCTCGCATGTGCTGAGACAGAACATTATTAACTCTTCCTGACACTGCCCCGCTGGGGTCAAGTAGGACCCTCCCCAGAAACTGTGCTAATTCCTATTATTGTAGCCTCGACTTTTTGACACTGTCCCTGGTGCCTTCCATATGTATCCATTATAAATAAGCAGCTTAGTCTTTCAACAGGATCATAGGAAGTTCAGAAAACACATTTTAAGAGCCAAAGAATAACTTCGGAACATTTCATGTGTTTTATTGTGGTTCAGGGACCCTACAAGAGTCCATAGCAATTCTTTTTTTTTTTTTTTTTAATGTTTATTTATTTTTGAGAGACAGAGAGACAGACCATGAGCAGGGGAGGGACAGAGAGGCAGGGAGACACAGAATCCTAAACAGGCTCCAGGCTCTGAGCCGTCAGCACGGAGCCCGACGCAGGGCTTAAACTCTCGAACCACGAGATCATGACCTGAGCGGAAGTTGGATGCTTAACCGACTGAGCCACCCAGGCACACCTTCATGGACGTTTTTGGACTTTGGGGATTGAGATCAGAAGAAAGGTGATGAGAGAGAGAGAATGGGCCCACACTAGGCTCAAGAAGAGGAGTTCTGGGGCATTTGGAAGAAGTGCCTGGGAACGGTGGGGAGGGAAGCTGATAGATACGAAACAGGGATTTTAAGAATTGCTATGGGGGCGCCTGGGTGGCTCAGTCGGTTGAGTGTCCGACTTCGGCTCAGGTCATGTTCTTAGAGTTTGTGGGTTCGAGCCCTGCATCCAGCTCTGTGCTGACAGCTCAGAGCCTGGAGCCTGCTTTGGTTTCTGTGTCTCCCTCTCTCTCTCTGCCCCTTCCCTGCTCATGGTCTGTCTCTCAAAAATAAATAAACATTAAAAAAAAAAAAGAATTGCTATGGACTCTTGTAGGGTCCCTGAACCACAATAAAACACATGAAATGTTCCGAAGTTATTCTTTGGCTCTTAAAATGTGTTTTCTGAACTTCCTATGATCCTGTTGAAAGACTAAGCTGCTTATTTATAATGGATACATATGGAAGGCACCAGGGACAGTGTCAAAAAGTTAAGGCTACAATAATAGGAATTAGCACAGTTTCTGGGGAGGGTCCTACTTGACCCCAGCGGGGCAGTGTCAGGAAGAGTTCTCTGGGTGCTTTAATGGAGGCTGGCTTAAGCTCTGAGGAGCCTCCTTCTTCAGGCTCCCTTCAAGCTGCATTATGCACCCACTCCTGTCCCCTGCTCCTCATTGGTCCTTGAGGCTTTCGGCAATTTTCTGTTGTCTCCAAGTGTTTTGTTTTGGAGAAGAACAGAGAGAGATCTGTCCTTCTCTTGGTGTATATTGATCCATGCAGAAAAAATTTATTGATGCCAGGCACTGGCTGTTCCAGGTCTGGGGATACAGTTCTCAGGGGCTTAAATTCTAAAGGAGGAGACAGGCAATAAATGAAGTAAGTAAAACTGACTGGGTGGCTCAGCCAGTTAAGCATCCGACTTCAGCTCAGGCCATGATCTCAGGGTTCATGAGTCTGAGCAGACAGCACAGAGCCTGCTTGGGATTCTCTCTCTACCCCTCCCCCCATGTATGTGCTCTCTCCTTCCCTCTCTCTCTCAAAATAAATAAATTTAAAAAATGAAATTAAATCCTAAGGATACCAGATACTGATACATTCTCTGGAGAAAGAAATGTAGAAGGGAAGGAAGATAGGAAAATGTCAGTGGGGTGGGTGTTTGATGGCTTAACCCAGAAAGGATTGATTGAGGTGACTTGAGGATTCAGAGGAGAGCGGGCGAGCCATGCGGGTATGTGGGAAAGCATGCTTAAGGCAGAGCAAGTGCAAAGACTGGTGAGCAGAAGGAACAGTGATGTAGCCCGGAAGTGTGAACGGGGACATGCAATAAAGACAAAGTTGGAGAGAGAATGGGTGGACGTGTGACCCTGTAAGGCCAAGGAAGCTCTTTGGCTGTTATTCTGAATGAACAGTGAAACAATTGGAGAGTTTTGAGCAGAGAAATGACATGCTCTTGCTAGGACTATTTGGTTGCTGTGTTGAGAATAGGCAGCAGAGGGCTCAAGATAAAAGCAGAAAGGGGGCACCTGGGTGGCTCAGTTAAGTGTCCGACTTCAGCTCAGGTCATGAGCTCACAGTTTGTGGGTTCGAGCCCCGAGTCAGGATCTGTGCTGACAGCTCAGAGCCTGGAGCCTGTTTCAGATTCTGTGTCTCATTCTCTCTTTGCCCCTCCCCCACTTGTGCTCTGCCTCTTTCAGTCTCTCAAAAATAAATAAATGAAAAAAAAATTAAAAAAAAAGATAAAAGCAGAAGGATCAATTAAATTATTGCAGGAACCTAGGCAAGAGGTAAAGGCTGCTTGTTGGGGGTTAGGGAGGAGAGGGGATGACAGGTGGTTAATTATGGATGGATGTTGAAGGCAAGGCCACCAGGATTTCCTAATGGAACAGATGCAAGAGACACAGGACTAGTTAAGGGGACACCGGAGTTTTTTGTCTGAGAAACTGGAAGTTTTGAACATGGTGTTTGGACCCAGAACGTGTAACACTTGGATCTGTTGGAGAAATAGGAAGCTGGTCTGTAGAAAAAGAAACAGAAAAGTGAAGCAAGTATATCTGGAGGAGAAACAGAAGACGGACATAGTCCTAACGTTGTTTAAAATCCCAGTTTCCAGTTTGCTCCTGGTGCCAGTTGTATTCTTGTCCTTGGATTCCGTGAGACACTCAAGTGTCCTGTCAATCAGTGAGGTCATTATTACTTAACTTGCTAGAATGTGTTTCTGATACTCCCAACCAAAAGAGACTTAATTATCCTCTAAAATGGCAAAGGGAGTGAGGATTTGCAAATTAGAAGCCTGAAGGTGGACTCAGAGAAAGCAGGGCACCGGCTGTAAAGAAACCCCATCCCGGGCTGAGAGGCTGGCAGTTCTTGTGTGGTGAGGCTCGAACCACGTGCCTCCAAAAGCCAGAGCTTTAGGGAACTTGTGGGAAAATGTCAGGAAAAAAATTTTTTTTAGAGAGAGAGAGAGAGACAGAGAGACAGAGCATGGGTGGGGGAGGGGCAGAGAGAGAGGGAGACACAGAATCCGAAACAGGCTCCAGGCTCTGAGCTGTTAGCACAGAGCCTGACTCGGGGCTCAAACTCAGGAACCACGGGATCATGACCCAAGCCGAAGTCAGACGCTTAACCAACTGAGCCCCCCAGGCACAAAATGTCAAGAGAGTAAAGTGTGTCAGCTGTTCTTTGAGACACTTACAAAGTTGTTAGGAGAGAAAGATGTGTTGTAATCCTGAATCGCCACCCTAAAAGTAGGTAGGAAACAATGGGACATTAAGAAACCCTGTCAGTCTGAAAGCAGAGATTCAAATAATGGGGTATCTTGCAGTCATATTCCCTGCTTTTTCTAGAATGAAATTAGTTTAACAATGCGCGATTCCCTGGTGTTTGGAATAGGGGTATTTAAGAGAAGCCAGAGAGATTCGGGACACCCCAATCCCAGGGCCATAGTGCTTCCACGAGGCAGATGTGATAATGTCTCCACCTCTAAGTGCCTTTGTCTGTTGGTGTGTAGCGTGTGTGTGCACTGCAGAGCACCCCGCCCCCCTCCCCCGGTACTGGCCACTGTAAGTCCCTGGCATGGCAGTTCCCTTGAACAGACTTAGTATTCAAGGACTGGGCCACACAAGATTTCTGGCGCGGGTAAAGGCATTAGCAAACAGAGTCAATAAAGAGGAAACTGACAGAGAGCCAGTGAAGGTTTTAAAGGAGTCGTCACCCCCAAAACCCCAAACTTGGCAACAGGGTCCATACTTGCTCAATACCTCAGGCAATCTGTACATATTAGTCACCCTGCAAACACGTGGGGAGTGCTGACTATGTCGGTGATCACAGTTTCAGGCAGCAGGGATGCAGCCAAGAACAAAAACAAGGTCCCTGCTTCTTCGGAGTTTAAATTCTACTGGTTCCAGGCCTGCTAGGAATAGACTTCCAGAGTGATACAGCACACCCTCCCACCGGGCGCTCCTGGGCACCGTTTTTCTCTCCATGTAGAACCTGAAGGATCCCTGGCAGGGGAAATTCTTCTGGTAAGCCAGGTCCTGGGGCAGACATTTTTCTGACCAAAGAGCTCCCTACACTGCCAGAGAATTTAGTAAACAAATGGACACTGATTAAAATATTTAGCCTTTTTAAAAATTGTTTTTTTTTAGGATTTTTAAAAAAGTATTTATTTATTCTTTTTTTAAAAATAAGAATCCCCCCCAAGGGAGAATCTTTTTTTTTTTTTTTGGGAGACAGAGAGACAGAGTGAGCAGGGGAGGGGCAGAGAGAGAGGGAGACACAGAATCCGAAGCAGGCTCCAGGCTCTGAGCTGTCAGCATGCCATCCAGGCACCCCTATTTATTCATTTTTAAGAGAAAGAGGGAGGGAGAGAGAGAGAGAGAGAGAATGCACATAAGCGGGGGAGGGGGAGAGAAAGAAGGGGACAGAGGACCCAAAGACAGCACAGAGCCTGATGCAGGGTTTGAACCCATGAATTGTTAGATCATGACCTAGGCCAAAGGCAGATGCCTAACCTATTAAGCTGCGCAGGCACCTTGTTTAATTTCCTTTTTTTAGTAATCTCTATACCCAACATGGGGCTCGAATTCACAACTAAGATCAAGTGTAGTGGATGCCTGACTGAGCCGGGTGTGCTCTATGCGTTAGACTACTGGCCAGTAGGTAATATTTTGCCTGCTCTCTGTAAAGTGAGTGTTTGGGGAATACTGGGGTGGTAATACTAATTATTCAAGCACCGGGATACAGAATTATGAGGATCTACATCTGGAACCCTTTGGGACCAA